GATATTAAAAATCAAAATTTAGACTTAAAGTCTGTTCTCAGTTTATGGTCTTGGGGCCAGATATTTTACAAGTGTTTTACCTTTGTTTGTCCACACGGAGAAGATTGATCCTTCCTGGTTATGCCTCTCTTTATCGACAACATCCTCAAACCTCTTAGTCATGTCCAACACAAGGATAAAGAAGGCCTTTGGTGTTACGTAAATTTGGTGACAGGCATAATATGCTAACTGGCCAGCAAAATCAAGCATGCTTACTGTTGGTAACTTCTCTTTTTCAGACAAGATTTTCTGAAATATTTCCTCTTTCACCATAGTTGGAGCTTCTGAGGAGATAAGACTGGCCATTACCTCTACTGAGTTCTCTTCTTCTGTGTCCTCCGTGGGTGAACTAGACATTTCCACATTCTCTTCTTTCTTTTCCTCTCGGTTATAAACTACTTCAGTGCTTTTATCAGTACTTCCTTCATCCAAATCTTCTTTTTTATTTGCATCAGAGCTGGCAACGGCACTACTGCTTGGGTCTGGTTTCAAATCTGTAGCATTTATTCTGATAAATGACTTGAATGGTGAGTCATCATCAGCCACTGAAAAAGAGGAATTTTGTTATTTAGTTCTGTTTTCATTTAGCACATCATACAGTAATTATTTAGGCAAAAAAATTATAACTTGGTACTCAGTCCTGTTTTTTTAAAGAATATTAAATGCATGAGGGAAATTTTTTTTCTTTTTATCTCATGAAAAACAGATGCGGGATTTTTTTTTTTTTTGAAAGATAAAATTTCAAAACTAAATTTTTAGTCCACAGAGTTTTAGCATCGAGTGTAGATTTAAAAATAATCTATTTCCTGCTTTTTTCTCTTTTCTGTTGTATCTTCTACATCTACATCCTGATAATTCATATAATGAAATGATGTCATCCTAAAAACGAGATGTGTTAAACTTACAGAACCCAACGGTGAAGCTGGTCTATTGCTTACGTAACACAACTAATATGCCATTCATAAGCGCATGAGAGAAATTTTATCTTATTAGTGTTTGTGTTGAAGTTCCAAGTTGCACATGGAATTTCCGAATGAATGATTCATATTTGCGAAATCTTCATTCGGAACTTCCGAATGCTCATTCGGAGTATTGGAACAAATTTCCGAATGGATTCCGTATAGTTCCGAATGAATGTTCCTGAAAGAAAGTTCCGAATGACTTCCAAGTTGCTTCCAAATGACTTCCGAGTTGCTTCCAAATGATTTCCGAGTTGCTTCCAAATGACTTCCGAATGCTCAAATGAATGCAATTGGACAATTTTCATTGGCTTAGACTTACACACATTTCCGAATTACTTCCGAATGCTTTCCGAATAAATTTTAAAATAATTTAATAAGGCTTTTTTTAACAAAAATTACTTTTTATTTATAATTAAAATTTAAACGAAACATACTGAAAATATACAATATTAAAAATATAGATTATTTGGCTTCAACATGATTCTTTTTCAAAATTGAATACACATGAACAATATATAACAAACAAGACCTCCATGGGCCATGTCACCCACCTGAGTGTAAAAACTTAAAAGCTATTTAAAATCAATTTAATAACTAAATTGTACTTTAAATTAACTGAGGAATTGTGATGTTAAACATCCGTTAAAAAGGGGTGTGGTCCTTCAGGTAAACAAATTTACATTTCCATTTCCAAAATAATGAAGGATGCTTTGTCACAAATTTAGATTTAAATGTAAGTCATAAATGTGACAAGTTTACAGTCAAAATCCAGAATACAGAAGGACAAACAGACATCGACACTTAGATCAGACTCTTTGGCTTAGGTGAGCCAAAACAATTCTTGTGAAAATTTTTTTTCCTGATTTTCTAATTCTTATTGTTTAGTATTTTAACAATAATTTCTAATATGTAATCTCTACTGACCAATGACAATTTTAATCCTACTTCTAAAAAATCCACAAGAATGAAGATAATGTTCACCGTTCTTGGAGGTCACATGTATGGTAAGGTAATAGTTTCCACATCTGGGACACAATTGACACCAAAAATTATTTTCACACTCCATAATTTGCAACACACTTATTGATGAAATTCCTCAAATCATTTTGTATAGAAAATCCTTCAACTTGCATGTCCTTGAACTCCCTAAAAATTGCGATCACTGAGAAAGTTCACTAAAATAACACAAATAAAGGTCCAATTGAAGTATCCTCGAACAATGTAATTACGGTATAAATTATATTTCAAAATATGCAAAGTAATCATCCCATTGCTGTATGCCTCAGTAATGGTCAATAACCCAGCTCTAATCGGGGGCTGAAGGTTTGACGATGTCAGCCAAAACTATATTTATATCTGTTATCAGTCTCCCTGGGTATTTCTCCATTATGATATCTGAAAATAAATATAAGAAGTAGTAAATTTTTGCTTTTCTTTTTTTTCCCTTTTTAAACTTGATAAAAATAAAGAAAAAAAGTCATTTTAAAATTATTACTGATCCATTAGTCAAAACAAGATGTGTTTGTGAAACACTATGCGCCCGGCGTCAACAAAGTTCGAAAAAGCTATTTTTACTATGTAGGTCACAGTCAAGGTCACAAAGTCATTGACATTGGAGTTGTTTGTAAGAACTAATATTATATATTTGGTGATATGAAGTCCCTATCTCTTATGATTCAAAAGTTATGGCAAAAAGTGGAAAAAGCTATTTTTAGCATATATCATAGGTCACAGTCAAGGTCACAAGGTCATTGACCTTGATGTAATTTGAAAGGACTTTATTAGTGGAGTATGCATACTAAATATTAAGTTTCTGTCTTTTATGGTTCAAAAGTTATGACAAACAGTTGAAAAAGCTATTTTTTTAGGTCACAGTCAATAGGGACCTTCATGGCATTGAAAGCATATGCTAAATATAAGGTCCCTATCTCCTATGGTTGAAAAGTTATGTCAAAAAGTGGAAAAAGCTATTTTTAGCATATACCGTAGGTCACGGTCAAGGTCACAAGGTCATTGACCTTGATGTCATTTGAAGGAACTTTATTAGTGAAGTATGCATACTAAATATGAAGCTTCTATCTCTTATGGTTTAAAAGTTTTGACAAACAGTTGAAAAAGCTATTTTTAGCGTATAGGTCACAGTCAAGGTAAAAAGGTCATTGACCATTATGGCATTTGAAAGACCTTTATTAGAGGAGAATGCACACCAAATATGAAGTCTCCATCTCTTACAGTTCAAGTTTTGGCAAAGGTTTAAGTTGACAACAGACAGACAAACAAACAGGACAAAAACAATATGCGCCCAGAAAAAATCCGGGCGCATAAAAAAAGGATCAATTGTACCAACTAATCAGAGATGTTAAGTTGTCAAGTTGTCATGAGTCTTAAATTCAGCAACAAAATCATGATAATTGTAAATTATTGATTTTAATTTAATAGGCAAGGTCATTAAACTTGGGTTAACAAACTATTTTCATTCATGTTTGAAAGTAAGATAAGTGTTTTAACAAAGCTTTACTTTTAAATTCTTAAATCTTAACACTTACTTACCATAAAGGACCTTGAGCTTATCTTGGTCGTCCAGAGGGGGACGCACCTTCCCATTTTTCTTGCTGGCTCCATGATGGCCCGTTATGGAATGTCCTTTTAATTCTTCAAATGTGAACATTCTTCTGAGGAGCCATTTTGCGTCCCCTTTCCAGCCCTTACCTGGAAGGTCATGAACCAGTTGAGCCTGTCAGATAAAACATGGTAATCAGAGATCACAGAGTTCACCTTACTTGATTTTTATCTTGAAGTTCTGTAAGTAAGTTTAGTAATGTGCATCCTTTGACATGTCATCCAAGAAAGTTTGGTAAATATAGAGCTTATGTGACCTTGAAATGAGATCTGCTCCAAAAGCTTTAAACTTGGGATACCAAATGCTGAGGATAAATTTAATCCAATTACCCCTCAACTTTGATGAGGTGTGCTAAAAGTGTATTAAATTATTGCACTATACTTGAAATAGAGAAATACTGGATTAACTGAAAATCTTGCCACCTGTTACTTACCTTCGTAAATCCATTGTATAAGGACTCCACTTGATGCTGATCCTCTTGTGCTGCGTCATGTGATATGGGAGGTCTCCCGCTCTGTGTAACAATAAAAATCTTAATATTTTCTTTTTTAGAAACAATATCAGTAAACCAAAAATTCATAACATGCACATCTTTTGAATGAAATAAACATTGCAAGTTCTTGAACACTTATTGTAAAATAAACTTGTTTAAAATGTATCTGAAATAATAAACCAAATTACTAAGACATAATACACCTAAAGGCTTGTACATACCAGAAGTGGCCCACTGACATTATGTTGCTGCTGCTGTTGGAACACAAATTGCTCTACCTGCAAAATTAAATGTGCAAATAAAACAATTCAAATTCAGATTTATCATATAATCCTTGCCTAGAAATAAAAAAAAAATATTTGAAAATTAAAATATTTACATACCTGATATAGCCTTGTGTTTAATGAGTAACAGTTTTGCTGCACTTCATACATCTGACGTTGTAGATTTTCATTTGCCAGACGCAACTGTTCACAATTTTGACATGGAGTTGGATAATGTGGGGTTGGTCTGGCGAAATATGGAGGCCCATCCATGTCTACAGCCATAGACACAGCTTCCCCGAGCAGAGTTCTTGTACTGACTGGTGATGGTGCTGATATGTCTGAGTATGAGGGTGTATAAGGTTGTGAAAATGTCATTTGAATTGAGGATGAAGGTGATGTAGATGTCTCATATTGCGAAGTGGATGCAGTCTGTATGGATGTAATTTTTTCGGATGGGGCCTGTGGAGTTGGGAGTGAAGTGCCTGATGATGATCCAGTAGTTGTTGATGGTGTTAAGGGAGTGGAATTCTTTTCTGTTGGACTTTGTGATGATGATGATCCAGGAAAAGTTGATGGTGTTAAGGGAGTGGAATTCTTTTCTGATGGACTTCGTGATGATGAAGATCCAGGAAAAGTTGATGGTATTAAAGGAGTGGAATTCTTTTCTGTTGGACTTTGTGATGATGATGATCCAGGAAAAGTTGATGGTGTTAAGGGAGTGGAATTCTTTTCTGTGACTCTGTGATGATGAAGATCCAGGAAAAGTTGATGGTGTTAAGGGAGTGGAATTCTTTTCTGTTGAACTTTGTGATGATGATGATCCAGGAAAAGTTGATGGTGTTAAGGGAGTGGAATTCTTTTCTGTTGAACTTTGTGATGATGATGATCCAGGAAAAGTTGATGGTGTAATGGACACTGACATGATAGTCTTTTGAACACTTGGCCCTGGCTGATCAGGTAGCTCCATTCTCGATGCCATTAGCATGTCTGCAACATGTGCAAGTTCTTTGTTCTGAAAAATTTTACACATATACAACTGTCTTTATTCACAAATTATTTTCCTAGAAAGCTACCAGTCAGACTGTATTGTTAAAGATATGTCAAAGGAAAATGACACCACTGTACCAAATGCTAAAGCAAAACAGTATTATTTTAGGTTCTAAATTTGAAGAAACAAGTTACTTACATGTACAATCTCCTTTTTTTCTCAATCTTCATTTTTTAATTTGCATTGCCCTGTAATTTAATTCAGAATGAAAATGGAATTTTACACAAACTAAACCAAAACAATTTAAAGCCAAATTACAGTATGCATTCGTTAAAATTTGTTCAAAACAAATATCATGTGATGTCCTTTTATTTATATTTAAAAATTACATAATATGGGTACATTACTAATAAAACGGTAGGAGAAGAAAGTAGTGCAGAAAATTTTTAGTTCCTTAATTTGCAGACTTTGATAAAAAAAATTTATTGAATCACACTTGTTGATAAAATCTAAAACAAAACAAAATGTTTTTTATCCAGTGATCGGGCCGAATTATTTTGTGTATTATAGCCATGTTACAATTCTGAAATTCCCCGACTTTCACTTTCATTTTTAAGGGCGCAAATGGATTTTGCTATAAAACCTGTCATGCCACCTTTAGATTTTAACCAAGGAACAACAAGTTGATGTGCTTTGATTTGAGGGGCATTGTCTGAACGAAAATAGGGACATCGCTATGAACACACACGTTAACACCCACACCTATGGGATAACAATTAGTGACTGTAATTAAATTAGAAAGCCTATAAGTAAGTGAAAGATGTCATAAATCTTGAAAAAAAATTTCAAAATTGGTGTTTTCTATTATTTTCAATTGTTCAAATTTAAAAAAAAACAATTTTGAATTGTTGATAACACATTTTTAAACAAATTGATTCATAAATAAAGTGTCTAGACCCCCCCCCCCCGGAACCAGACAACATGTTATATATAGGTATCAATTGTTTAACATGTAACATGTAGATTAAATGTGTCGATTTATAAAATTTATTTATTCAGAATCATAAATGTATAATTTGATTAAGAAGTAGAATTAATTTCCACTGTGGTATATTTTCAATACACAAAAATTCACAAATGTGTTGATCAGGTATTGTCAAGGTCGAAGTGAAAGTAGACTTAGCAGAAAGTTTATCAAAACTGTTCAGTGCATTGTTTAGCAGTATATAGGTGATGGGAATTTGTATGTTACACAGGAGGCAAGAGGTATACCTTAGTACAATATTTGTAAATAACAATTTAATGTTTTTTGGAACATGTCGATGATGCATAACATACATGACATACATAATTTCAGATCAATGTGAAGCTGGTTACAGTTGTCTGGGAGTTAAACGATGTGTGTGAACATGCACATTAACTGGTTTCTCTATATTTTTTAGCAATTGCATTACATGTATTTGTTGAATGTACAATTATTGTCAGTAAAACATGATTTTTACCTATTCTGTTGAATTAACTTAATTACCTATATATGTTAACAGTGTGATTTCAGGTGGAAGCCAATAAACCATTTTTTAAATTAATTAATTTCAAGTAATGGGCATACTAAAAAGGAATATGGTAAAATTGTACTTGTTGAATGTCTGTGTTTCTCTCTGTCTGCAAATGTAATATTGTACCATTTATTGTGTTGATTTTTTTTTTAGGTTCATGGTGATTGGTTCAGGAAAAACATCAGGTCCATGCAGATGGTGTTTAAAACTATTGGCTAGCAAAATGCAACCAAATACAATTTGAAGCAAAGCAAAGTGTGACAGTCGGCAAAATGTGTAAGTTAAAGTTTTCTAAAAAAAAAATTCATTGAAGTGGGGGATGGGGTGGGGGTGAGGAAATTTACATATTAAATAGGTGATCAGAATGTGAAAGTATTTAGCTATAATAATCTGTACATGCACTGCTATATACATTTTGCAGCTCATATACATTTTTTTTTTATTTAAGAATTTCAAATTAATTAGATCTACATCCAAATTGTTTTGTAAATTATGCATTATTAAGATTACACGGATATAAGAATTGAAATTTCATGAATATTTGACAGTGAAAATTATGCGATTTGTCAGGAAATTCAAAATTTTGTCTCATTTTCCTACAAATTACAAAATGGTTACCATGGAAACAAAACAACTTTAGTGGATTATTTATTTAATCTGCAAAACCACATATTTTCATTTTTTTAAAGTTAATAATAGTATATAAGCACTGATTTTGTTTTAAATAAATTTACGGGAAAAGTAATGGCACTTGTATTGAGGTATCCATTATTATGATGTCATTTCTCTTCATAGAAAAAAATTTGCATTGGTATAAAAATTACTTTGAAACAAATGATTCTATGTAGGATTATAAAGGCTTATAACTTTTTTATTCATAGACCAAATTTCATGAATGATACTTCAATGGACAAGTGGGTTAAATAATCAGTACTTTTTTATTTTACTGCTTTTATTTGTTAACTTCATTTTTTTTCAATTATGAATTAGAGGGTTTTTTTGTTGAAATACATTAATTTTTTAAAATAAGTGAAATTGACCCAATTAAGTGCTTGATTATGATTTGACTATATGTATTTAAAGTTAAAGGTGATTAGTAAAGGTTCAATGATATAAATGTGTTAAAAGGCTAAAATTTGACTTAAAACATCACCAATTTTTTTCAACCAATGAGCATTTTTTTAAAATATATAGAACTGTAAATGTAAAATCTTAATTAATTGTTGAATTTTCATGAAACTTGGCATGATCACTCGACTTTTGCTAGATTGACAAACAGTGTGAATGAGTAAGATCAAAAAAATGCTTTTATTGGGTACATCCCATTAATTATTTTTAGAATCGGTAAGAAAGAAAGAAATTTAAAAAATTCGAGGGAGAGTTATAAAATTTGCAGACTTGCATAAAAAAAATTGGAATATTTTTAAATGGCCTCACACTTGTTGATAAATCATTAATTCACTTACCAAAAAAGCTGGTGGAAAATGTGAATTTTCAAGAAGATCAGCGAATTATTTTGTGTATTATAACGCCAGTTACAATTCTGAAATTCCGATACTTTCACTTTCATTTTTACAGCTTCCCCATTTACAGAACTTTTCATGGAAAACAATTCAATTTACATACAACAGTCATTTTAACCAAGGAAAGACAAGTTGATGTGCTTACCTTTTCAGGGTCCTCACTTTGAACGAAAATAGGGACTTTTCGCTATGAGAGGAAACGTTAACATTTGTTTTTGGGATAACAATTAGTGGACTGTACCCATATAAATATTTGATATAATAAACAATTCATAAAAAATAAGTCTGATTAGGTCATAATAAATAAATTGCTACAAAACTATCCAAATTTTTTTGAAAATCGAGGCTTGCATGTGGCTTTTACTGAGTGTATACAAATATAAGGGCAGTGAAAATTTTATCAGGGCAAAGTAAATTTTATCAACTACTTGCCCGTGGGCAAGTGACTTATCAAAAGTAGAATTTATTTGTAGGCCATAAATTTAAAGATCGGCATACGGGCTTGTTTTTGTCTTTCTCTTTTTGAAAAAAAATATCTATAAATACAGAAAAAGTTTATGGTAGGACAAGCAAACATTCAGGTAGGGCAAGTCAATTTTGACGATCTACTTACCCTTGGACAAGTGGGTTAAAAATCTATTTTTCAGCCCCTGCTTTTATTTTTTAATTCTAATTTTTTTCAATTTTGCAGATTTTTTATTGACCTAGTCAATCAGTGTAATTTTTGTTATCAATACCCAAACAAAAGTCATAGTAAAGGTTCAATTATTTCAGTTTAATTACATCATCACCAATCTTTTTCAACCAATGACCCTTGTTTAAAATATATGCATGTATTACAGCAATTACCGGTACAATCTTTTCAGCTGTCAAAATCACGTCGACTATTGCTAGATTTAAAACGAAAGTGGAATGATAGATGAATACTGATCCCAATCAGAATTTAGACGAAGAAAAACAGAAATTTAAAAAATCGAGGGGGAGTTATAAAATCGGGGCAGGCTGGGATGAGAATCTAGGAATATTTTTATTATGGCCTTATCTCGATTCTTAAATCACTTACTGGTGTAACATCTGAATTTTCGGATAGCTTTTCATTTCTTTGACCGATTCTTGAAAAAAAAAGATACTATTAAAATAAAACAGCTTTTCCATATATATTTTCATGGAAAATACAATTCAATTTACTTTACAACAGTCATCATGAGTCATGTAAAATTTTTTCCAGTTCTTACCTTTTCAGTGTCCTTAGCTTTGATAACCTTTTCCCTTTTTTGAACTTGTTTTTCAGGGTCATTCCTAGAATAAGATATTTAAAACAACCATATATTATACATGTTGAATTAATTAGCTATTTAAAAAAAAAGTGGGGCTTGACTTGGGCATTACATCCCATTATTTACAAAACTAGAAATGTTTCATGTCCATAGGACATGAATGCCTCACTGAGTGTATATTATTATAAGAACATGAAAATTTGTATCAGACCAAAATAAATTATAGGTTGATTGGATTTGTCATCCTGCCTCAATGAAATGCACCCTTCTTGAAAAAAAGATTTTGACCAAAAGAATGAAATTTTCATTATTTCCCAAGTTTTTTGCCCATTACCTTTGAGAGGAGATCTGTAAGGTTGCTTCCATTTTTGATGTAAGTTTTCGTTCCCTCTTTCCTGAATCCTCAACCACTGAAGACACATCACGGGGTGCTTCAGTTCTTTCTGCTAATTCTTGCTTTGCAGAAGCTTTGCTATCTGAAAGAAATCCCAATAAACTTTTTTTATTTCAGCAAAATGTTATTTTATTCAAAACCTACAGTTAATTTTTGTTATCTTGAACTCCATGGCAATGGTGAAAAAGTTTGAGACATCAGTGTGTCTAAGATAAGAGTAAAATACTTAATTAAAAGATAAGTGATTGGGAAATTTAAATCTCTTAGACATATTTATTGTGTACGGTAATAGCTTTTGATAAAAGAAAACATGCTTAACCTTGTTATAACATTGTCATTTAAACAATAAATCCTTTCATTGTTCTTGGTATGGAAATTAATGTTGCAGAAAAAGAAAACATATTGACTTCTACATGTTGTAGGTTGTACTTAATTTTATTCAATAGCTGCAAATGTAATACAAAAACAAGAAGGACTTACCTAAGAGTAGATTCAGTAGAGTTTATTCTGATAATCCTGTTGCAAATTGCCATGCAGATTAAACAGCATGATGCCAGTCTTAGATAAATATGTGTGAACTCTCATGCAGTAAAACTGACAAATATCTGCTGCAATACTAAATAAATAAGAAAAACAATTCATGTAAATTTTATCAAATTATATAAAATATTGCCTTGAAAATAATATATATTATATATATATAATGAAGAATTTGAATTTAATATCATGAGCAGTCAGGGGCATCCCCTTGCCCCCCCCCCCCTCCCCCCCTTGATATATAGAATACTTACAAAAACATACCAGTAGCTATTAATAATCTGATGATAATATGTGCTTGTGCCCCTTCAATCAAAATATCTGATGACATTTATTTTTTGCTTGAAAGCTGTGTCCCCTCCCCTCAAACTGGAATTACTTCCTACAAGCCTGAATATTATAATTAAACAAACTTTACAATTAATTAGTAGACATGAAACATTTAGTGATAAAATTCAGTTAAAACATACTGTAAATTTGTCTTTGACTGCATTAATGTTATTCTCAAGATTATTCCATAAAGCTCCTAATTTGTAAATTTCAGAAAATGCCTTTTTAAAAATGTTGACAATGCCAAAAATTGATTTTTCATGACTAAAAGTTTACAGCAGTATTACATAAATTTTTATTGGTCATAGGGCTGTCACGGTTCCAAAATTTTTCGGGTCGGGTCGGTTCTGATTTTTTTAGGTTCGGTTTCAGGTATTTCGATTCCGGTAATTAATGGAATAAAAGCTAATGATTTGTATTATTTTCATCAACAAAATAAATATTTTCATTTAATCTTCGAAATAGCAACATTCTAACTAGTTTAAAGTAGCTTCCTGACTAGACAACAATTGTACCATATTATTTAAATCACCTTATAATTGCAATGTATTATTAAGAAATCTCTCGTTTTTGAAGCAATTTTTATAGTAAAACCTACACTACTATACAAATCGGAACCAAACCGAATTCTGAAAAAAACAGAACCGTACCCGAACCGAATGAATTGTTCCGCAGTTCTGGGTCATTTCGGGTACCCGTGACAGCCCTATTGACCAAACATCAAGCTGAAAGTTTTAATAATTTATCATTCAAAATCTACTAAGGCAAATGTTTCCAACTATATATATGACAGGAGTGAAACGATACACCTCCTTCACCATGGTTTGATATGTATCGTTTAATTTTGTCTCAGAACAGTTATTTTCAACAAGATACATTTTGAAAGAAATAATACTGTTTTATGCTTTCTTTGACTTAATCTAGTCACATTAAGACACAATTTATGTGAAAAATGACTGAATGAAATAAATCAAAATTGATTTTACTGTTATACAAACTATTGATTGATCACAAAAAATTATTTTTTATGTACTTTTACTTAAGGACACGTTTATACCAAACCAAACAGAATGACGATCCCAACCGAAAAAAAGGATATATTTTGTACCATTTAACAAACCAAGAAAATATACCATGGATACCATGTGAATCCATACTGCAATAAACCGTTTCACTCCTAATGTATTACATTACAACCTGTTAGTGCCCTAAATCTAAAACAGTGGATCAAGGAATACTTGGAATTGTAAAGTATAAAAGTAATGTTTCAACCATTTAAATTATATACATCCTTGGCTATTATTTGCTTATCTCATTTGTTGATTTTTTGCAGTTTTGCCTACTGATACTGTCATATTGACCTCACATTTTGACCTCACATGGGGGTACTGATTGACCTACAAATCTAATTTTCTTATATTTTTCTCCACACTTAAGAAAGTTAAGGGACTGTTACAATGTTTTATTATTTTAAATTTCATACGCTATATGTGACCAGTGCATGTACATGACAACTTTTTTACAAAAACGATTAAGATATCCAATTATAATCGTGATAATAAAAATTTCAAAATTTTCATCCAAATGACACGTTTTGAAAAACTGTAGCAAATTGGTGGATCTAAATTTTTATTGGTTTTATCAAACAGATTCATTTTATCTTTTAGTCATTCATTACTGTAATGATTACGATTTTCAGAAAATGAAACTGAAGACAACAGTTGAGGATATTAAGGTGCATACCAAACGATCAGAAATAAAACATCGAAGTGAAAAATTTTTGTGACAGCTAGTGTAAAAATTCTGGGCAGAAATGGTTTGGAATATATATAAAAAGTTTTTAATTTCATCATGGTTTAAACGGTTTAATATAAATAATCTACTTATTTGCATTAATTGGTATTCAAGATGGCATTGACTGAGTTTTACTGCAGTGCAATGAAATTTACTTGATGGAAGACACCATGATACATGCATGTAAATAAAATACAAGATATCAAAACACTTTTAGCGACATTTAAACCAAACTGTTTGCCTTATGCAGTTTAACAGCCCCAGGCAAACAGTTTGGTTCTCAGGTCCAACAAAACACATGTTGCCCGAGAATAAAATCAATAAATGTAATCGTTCATGGACCGTGGAAATTTAATCTCCTTATTAGGCGCCAAGAACTATCAAAATTATGTACAATCCTTGATCCACCCATGCTTTATTCAATTCTAATTGAAAACATGCTTTTTTTTCTAGTTTAACAAGACTGAAATGATGTTATTTGTTAACTTGTAGTTAACTTATTCTTAATTATTATAACCTACTCTTTTATAAACTAATAAACAAAATTACATGATATTTAATAAACATGTGTGATTATCAGATATAATGTATAATATAATCTACACTGGGACTTGAAACACATGCATGTTGTCAGTCTGATTCATCATCTTGATTATGTGAAAAAAAATTACAGTATTTTAATTTTTTGAAAATCAAAACATTTCCAGTACACTTTTCACTGTATTTTAATTTTAAAAAAATCATGACATTAACATGTCCCTAACATTACTAAAATTTATTCTTAATAGTACACCTTTTTCCTGTTGTTAAACTTGTATTCTATTTTTTAACATGCTCAGCAAGCTCAGGCATAATGTGATGCAATATGTTAAACTTACTGTGGAAAGAAGCAATCCTCCCCTCAAACATTTTCTTTCCAAACTGTTTTAGAACTTTGTCTCCATTTACAACTACCGCATCTTCTTTGTAAAAATCTGTCGTGCCGTCCTCCCAGTCAATAATGAAAAATTTGGACATATTTTAGATCTTTACCTGATTCCGTGATTTCAAGAAATGCGCGCAATACGGTTGATTGGTTATCGAAATCGAGGTCTTGAAAATCTGTATCACCGGGACGTTTTAGAGACTGAATGCTTTCAGCGTACTTTTCAAGCATCTATCTCATAGAGATTTGTAATTCAACACCGCGTTGTTTGGTTTACAAAAAGCTTGAACAGAATTGAAAGGACGTTGGATTACTTCAAATAAAGACTTGCAATGAAAAACTTGTTTACATAATGGTATGTATGTGACATTTTATGTTTTAAACATGTTTATTTCTCAAAATAATCTGGAACTAAGGAATTATCGTCACAGGACACTATCGACAACTGATGACACCTTGTCTTCATAGAACTTTTCAAGTTATCATGGTTTTAGTCCCAAGGATAACATTGTATATAATTATATTTATATATCTTTAAGGCCAATCTTGAAGAGTTTGACATTGAAGCTTGCCTACAATCAGGATTTTGGATTTGCCCAATCGAATCATGTAAAAAGAAACTAAGCAGAAAGCAGACCTTGAGGACTCATCTTTCATGCATCCATTCAGTAAAAGGTATGCCAGTACGAATTGGGACTGCCATTTCATTGAACCTATGAATATTTCAATATATATGAAAGAGTTTATTTCAAATGAGACTTGAAATTACATATATGAAATTCAAAATGCACCCCTTAACCTGTCATAATTGCTTTACGTTATGGAGAAAATACACTTTGGTCCGGCTGGACTAGTGCTTCTTTACTTTTACTAGTCTGCGGGCAATTTTATTAGTCCTTCAAAAATAACAATAAATAAATAGAATTAATGTTGCAATATACCTTTTTGAAATAAACAAAGCATTTACACGAAAAACTCCATCAATGATTTCTTTGTGTTCTGTAAACTTATTTCTGTGCATCTGTGTTGTGTGACTTATCTGTGTTTTGTCAACCTCCGAATATACATTAAATAAATCTTATTTCCTTTAGCAGGGAATCCCGTGAAAAGATACAAACTGCATGAGCAAGCTGAAACGCATTTGCAGCCTAGAACTTCAAAGTGGAGAAAATTAAAGTATGACAGATGATGATATACCATAATTGATTTTCCATAAAATTGAGTATTTATGTTGCACATTCAGCCACTACAAAGGATAAAGTATAATTAGCATTTCTTGTGTGTTATTTATATTAATATGACATATGCCTAATTATTCAGTAATCAAATATTGCCGTAAATTGATTCAGCTTTGCCAGGGACCTATGTATATTAACAGAAGAGGTAACTACGGCAAGTCTCATGATATCTTGAAAGTCGCAAAATTTTGGGAGTCAACTTTAATATAATTATAGCTCTAAAGCTATCGCATATTTGAGATCAAATCTTTTTTCTGTTAAAAAATCATTCAAGATAATTTGGTTAGCACGTATTATACTCTTTTTCTTAGTAGTACTGTAAATCACTTTTTATTTGCGAGAAATTTATTTTCACGTAATTACCTGCGACAGTATGCACCCGAAAATTTCATTCTCGCACATAGTAGAATTGCATAAGATTATAAAGAACAATGACCACAATTCATGAAAATTTTGTCTTTGTAATAAAGAGTTAATGACTATCTTGTGAAAATAAGGTCGCGAAAATTTAGTGATCTACAGTAATTTAATTTGTTTTATGCAAAATCAGCACATGCCCCGATCGGCCATATTTCTGAAAAATTGCTGATTTCAGTGTACGTTTTCTTTATATTTTAATTATGTTATTATTATGCATTAAAATTTATTATTATAAAATCAATTCCAGTACATAAAAAGATTAAATTGACATTTATCATAAAACATCTTGTTTATTAGGAATAAACATAGTTATGTTAAAAAACTTGTAGTGTTGTCCGTGATGTTTTGGGTAAATAAACATGGCGATGAAGGAGTTGCTATCCTGTTAGAATGTAGGTCCCTGGTTTTGCATCATATGTATAATAAATTAAACATTATAATTTGCATACTTAATGGCTATATTGAATAAGTTTTCAATTGCAGTCATGGTTCTTGTGTATTTTCTTACAGAGAAGAAGCAGAGACATCAACTTATGAGAATCCTGAAAATGATCACCCCAGTGTTTTTGACGTTTCATCAAATGATGTTGGTATTGATAACAGTAATCAAAATGATGGTGCAGCATTTGTGCAAGATTTTGAAACTGCCAATGATTCACAACCGGCAAACCAATATTTTCCTGCAGAAATCGAACAAATTGTTTGTATGGAAGGATTCATGGAAAATTGTGAAGAAATAGATATGGAACTTGATTCTGAAGAAAGTGATTCTGTCTCAGGTGATGATGATTCTGAGGGAGAACCGGAACACGATGCTGCTGCTGCAGTTCCAGAAGAAGAGGTGAAAGAAGGAGGAAGTGTCCCTTTGTATGTTTTGCCACCCAGTAAATCTCTATTTTCCTCTGAGATTCAGCACAAAGAACATCTCCTCTCTATTTGTGCATATTCAACAAAAAACCATTTGTCCCGCACAGGATTTCAACAGCTACTTAAGCTGATAAATGTCCATCTCCCTGAAAAAAATTTGTGTGAGACCAGCGTCAATAAAGTCAAGGAGAAAATACGATTTGGTGGAAACTACTTCACATATCATGAGTACTGTGATGTATGCGGTGCTTTATACCCTGAAGATAGAGGTATAGTAAAATGTGAAACACCATCCTGCACTGGATCAAGATCAAGTGATGCTGATGCGACAGGAAGAAGAAAAAACTACTTCGTCAGTGGGGATTTACACTTACAACTGAAAGAGATACTTGAAAATGAAGAAAATTTTAATGAAGTATTGTCCTCATTTCAAAGATCTAATGATAGTGAGGAAATTCATGACATTACAGATGGCAAGAAGTACAAAGAAATTAAGAAAAAATGTAAGGACATGACTGTCACATTGACTATGTTTACCGATGGAGTTTCCTTATTTAAATCATCAAAAGTCTCTCTATGGCCAGTGTACCTTGTCATCAATGAACTCAATCCACAATCAAGGTTTTTGAAGAAAAACATGATTTTATGGGGACTCTGGCAAGGACAGGGCAAACCTTTGATGAATACTTTCTTTTTTCCATTTGTCAAGGAAATGAGAATGTTATACAACACTGGAATGCAAGTGGAAACTCCATCTGGACAACAGACAGTTCACGCTATAATAAACGCCATGACTATGGATCTTCAAGCAAGAGCTTGTGTTTTTAACATGATGCAACATAATGGCTTGTGTGCTTGCCTGTACTGTGAAGAGCCAGGGGTTGTGGTGAAAAGTGGAAAGGGCCATACCCGCAGCTTTCCATATCGTGAGACTAAACCTCAACTGCGGACAAGATTATCAATTGAAGCAAATGTTCATGAAGCCGTACAATCAAAAAAAGCTGCCTGTGGATTTTATGGAAGGTCCATCATCACACATCTTCCATGGATGGAATTTCAAGGAAATTGTACCATAGACTACATGCATGGCTTCCTTCTGGGAATAACAAAAAAGTTATTAAGCATGTGGATAGATGGAGCCAATTATCAGCAGCCTTACTTCATTGGACACAAGCTCAAGGACATAGATAAAATTTTACAAAGTATCAAAGTTCCCTATCTGATCCATCGCAGTCCAAGAAAAATTCAAAACAATCTCAATCACTGGAAAGCATCTGAGTTTCGATCTTTTCTCATCTATTATGGGCTACCCTGCTTAAAAGGACACTTGCCGGATACGTATTTGGAGCATTTCGCTTGTTTTGTTGAAGGAACTTTTTTGCTTCTTCAAGAGAAGATTACAACATATGATCTCGCTAGGGCAAGGATGCTTTTGGAAATGTTTTACAAATGCATGGCAACCCTGTATGGAGATGCTGTCTGTGGCCTAAATGTGCATAACATCAGTCACATAGTGGATTGTGTGGATAACTGGGGACCACTCTGGGCTTATTCATGTTTTGCTTTTGAATCTTTTAATGGAGAAATTTCAAAAGCGATACATGGAAAAGGAAATGTAAGTGGTGAAGTTTATTGGGCAGTCCACAGCGAAAAAATTCTACAAAATGAAATCAAACTGCTTCAAGATGGAAAGCCGAAAGATCTTCTAAAAGAAATCATGTCTGCGAGAAACACCGTAAAAACAGCAATCTTGAAATTGGAGAACAGTGTTACATAATGAAACCTTTGGTTAAACTGAATTCTGTATCTGATACACTTTTGCAAAATCTTTCTGTTCTGATAAATATGGAGGTTGGAGAAGTCCAGAAAACTACCATCCTTAAGGCATCAAAAATTCAAAGAAACAGATTTGTTTTTTACAGCAAGTCATGCGGCAAAGTGAAGCGGAATAATTCATTCACTGTCCACCTAAATCAAGATTTTCATGGGTGTGACATTGTTATGGTGGATTATTTCATCCATCTTTCTGACCTTAGGAGAACTTTTGCCCACAGCAGTGGATTTCAGAGGATTTCTAGGATGGTGGAGGGAAGAGCACCCCACGTTCAGCTGTTGGAATTGAAATGGTAATAGATATATATTAAGTTTTAATCTGTTTAGTGTTTACAGACTCAAAAGGAATGAAATAGATGTGCTGGGGGATATGTGTCCTTTCCAATTTTTATATTTTTGACAATGTATACATGGTACAGTTTACATTAGGAGACAAAGATAATTCATATCCTTATACTTGATAATTTTTTTTATCATATTGATCGCTGTTTTTCTTCCTTTGCAAAACATGGGAACACTAAAGCTGATAATTATAATATTTCTCTTAGTTCAATTTTATGGCAAAATGCAAGGTTCTTAATTATTTTAATTGATATTAATGATGTGATTGTGAAGGACGTTTTCTTCTTTAAAACTTAATACTCAGAAGCTAGATAGCTTATCTTTCTTGTATTATTTTGTAGGAAAGATCTTCTTGTTCCAGTTCCTTTGCTTGAAGAACTTGTTGTTCACATGAAAGTCAATGGACAGGATATCATTGCTTGCTTTCCTAATTTTGTAGAGAGGGATTAGGAATTTGAATCAGTATATGAATGCTGAAGGAACCAATCTCAAGTGGATTTTTGCAAACTGTGAAATGTTAACTCGTACACTTTTTGGATAACTAAGTGGATGTTTATGTCGTGTTTATATGTTTAAAGATGACTGTTTGTAGGTTAATAATGAAATATGAAGTTAATTTTTAAAGCCATTTTTGTCCACATTTGATATTTTAACTGCTTTGTAATCAAAGACACAAGTTGTTCTTAGGTAGCACTTGTACATATGATATATATATATATATATATATATATATATATATATATATATATATATATATATATATATATATATATATATATATTGTTGATGTAAATTGAACATGTATAAGGAATACACAGAATTTAAAGTCACATTTTGTCATTCATAGAGGGCATAGTATTAGTTATATAAATAATGACATCAAACTTGGAACAGCTCAATTTTTGAATTTTTCAATTCCAATTTTCAGTTAGGATTCTGTATATTGATGAAAAATTTCTAAGTCCAATTCTAATTCAATGTGTATATTGCTGAAAAAATTCTAAGTCCAATTCTAAAAGCTTTTCGAATCATTCCGAATGATTTCCGAATGCATTCCGAATCAATCAGAATACTTTCCATGTGAGAATTATTCCGAATGACTCGGAAACATTCGGAATCCGAATGCTTCCAAGTTGTTCCGAGTAATTCCGAATGAATTCCATGTTGAAATTGATGCCAATTTGGAACTTCTACACACGGGGAGCCTGAGAACCAAGTTATTATTTTTTTAGGCCTCATCTCTTTTTTTCATATTTGAGGATTTAGAACAAACAGTCTGGTGATTTTAACTGAAATCAACATATATGTGTTCATTATTTAAATAATAATTTTTTTTATATCCCCCTTCGAAGAATTGAGGGTATATTGCTTTAATTTGCTGCTGTCTGTCAGTTGGTCGGTCTGTCAACCGGTCTGTCTATTGGTCCACTAAGTTTCCTTCATTTTCTTCACAATCATTGCACATACTGAAATGAAATGTTGGTATACAGATTGATCATATAAATATGTAGGTCAACTTTTGACAGAGTTATGCCCCTTGGACTTGGTAAAATTCCAACTACTGTAGTTCCCTTATTTTTCGCGGCCGAGTACTTCTTATCGCGAATGAGGTCTTCAACAGCAAATCGCAAGAATAAGAATTCGCGAATGAACGGTCGATCCAGAGTTTTAAAATAGATTTCAGCACCATAAAAATAAAAGCGAGTATGTTAAAGCCGTTTAGTCCGATTCTAATCGCAAAAAAATATATTCGTTTTTCTTCTTGAAAAATAATTGTCCATAAATTGTTTCAACTTTTGTCAAATTATGTCCCTAAAGTCTTTTTCTTTCAAAAAGATATGAAAATTCAAAAATTAAAAGAATAATTTTTGTTAGGTCACACAAAATATAATCGGAATAAATGCTATGTTGATATCGCGTGAAATCACCTTCGAAAAATTTAATTTATCGATTATATCTCATGAAAAACAAACTCGAGCATTTTTTTCACAACAAAGTACTTATACCTGTACACAGACAATATTTTAGCCTTTGTTACTTACATTGTAACTTCTGGTTTAAAAAATCTTTAAAAATATCTGATTTTCCTTTATTCTTTAAATATATATATGCATATTTGAATTATCTTCATAATTAGATATAACAGATAAATATTTTTTTTTCAAAGGTGACTTCACAACAGATTTTAACTCCCCGTCATGAACTTCTGTTCTGTTGCCTGTTTCAGATTAAGCGGCTTTAATTTCGTGTATGGTGCTTCTCGCAAAATTACACGATAATTAATTCCACGTGTATATTTAGGAATCTACAGTATTCATTATATGATGATTGAATATTCTAGATTGAACATTATAAGAACTAAAAGTATGTCCATAGGACATGAATGCCCCGCCCAGGCTTCATTAGTAAGGCAACATACATGTAACATGTGTATTCAGCGTACAAAGTTTGATGAAGATATCTTGAATAGTTTCTTTAAAACTGGGTTTCATACAAAAACTCAAAAAGGTATTTCTGTTTGAAAAATGTCTTCTACATTTGTCCTTTGAATATGTTTCAGAATTTTTTCTACCTTCTAAAACTCCATCTCTAACAATGAAGACATGTTGATGGACTTCCAGTCCCCTGGTGGACTCTGAAACTTCACTGAAATTTTGACGTTTTCCTCTTAATCGCTTCAGCAGTGTTGTTAGTCCACTGGATGACATTGTAGCTTTGCTGACATTTTGACTTTGCCCTCTTAATCGCTTCAGTAGCGTTGTTTTTCCAGCCCCAGCACATCCAACAAGTATTCCTCTGGCATGGGACACAGTTGTCTTCTCCTTCCTCAGAAACTTCTTCAACTCATCCACTTTATTTATTTCATCAGTGCTTGGATCTAAAACAAAAACAGTCATGTTCTCAGAATAGACATGAAAACACATGCATGAAGCAGATTTTGAATTTTTTTAATGCACTTTACAGGTGTTCCAGGAAAAAAAGGTTACTCTAGATCTGTTATTTTTATATCTTATCTTTCTAATTCAGTCCCAGAATATTATCTGGTATTATAGCTTTGGTCATATGATTTACCACATGGGCTAAGAACAAGGATTTAAATGAATCATTTCTTGTAAATAAAATTAATTTCTCTGTTTAAAGTTTACAAACATAGATAATAATATTTTTGTAGCAGAAAAATAGTTATGTCTTTAACTCATGAAACAAGAGGTCTATGGGTGACAGGAGTCACCTGAGTAACTTTAGAGATGCCTTTTTTCAACCAGAATCCCCCCTTGTAATACATATTGAGGCCATATCCTCCCACCTCCCCGGAGTCATCATTTTAACAATTTAGAATCAACACTACCCAGAATGCCTCCACATAAATTTCAGCTTTACTGGATCAGTGGTTCTTGGAAAGAAGATTTCTAATTTTTTTTCTATATATTTCTATGTTAAACGTGGATTCCGTATTGTGTCAATGTGGCACCGCCCTCCCTACCTCGGGGGGTCATGATCTTACTAATTTAGAATCAACACTACCCCGATGATTCTTCAACACAAGTTTCAGCTTTTATGGCCTGTTGTGTCTTGAGAAAATGATTTTTAGAGAATTTTTCATAAAATTTCTATGTAAATCTAGGATTCCCTACTGTGGCCCCGCCCTTAGTATCCCCAGGGGTCATGATTTTAATAGTTTAGAATTTTCCTATCCCAAGGATGCTTCCACGTAAGTTTCATTTTTTTCTTTGGCACTTGTTCTTGAGAAGAAAATTTCTAAAGATTTCAAAAATATGAACTCGCAATTTCAAAAGACAACTTGCAATTTTAAAATGAAAGCTTTCTAGAAATAAATCACCATCCATCCATTTAAAAAAAATTCTGCATGAGGTTTAAAAAAAATTATGTTTTTTCCTGTAACATTCCCCAAAAATCATTGGTCAGAAGGTCAAGATTTTTTTTCTTATGATAAATAGAGCCAAACATCCCCGGACTGAATAAATCAGGTGTTATATTTACAATGGACACCTAACATGGCAACGAACATGACTGTCTAGCCGCAAAAAACGAACTTCAAAAGTCGTGGGGAGAAATTATTGTTACAATCATACATTATGATTACTCTTTATATTCAAGGTAAATGTTAACTAGGTTATGTCTCAAGTTAAGCTACAATTAATATTTTTTTTTTGAATAAATGGATTCTGAATCAGCTGATTGATCAAACCACGCAGATTGGGAGAAAAAAAATCCACCTAGAGGTAATTTGAATAGATTGGTTGTTTATTTTAGGCCTGGTTGTCGGACATGGGTTTAAAAAACGGGGATGTCAAATAAATTTTTCCCTTGGTGAAATTTACAGTGGAAAAAATCAACTCGCAAAAATTTGCAAGTTACAAATTTTTAACTCGCAATTTGAAATTTCTAACTCGCATTTTGCGAGTTGTATATAGTGAATTCCGAACCCTTGATTTTTCCTACATATTTCAATGTAAAACTTGGATTCCCTATTGTGGTTCCGCCCTTCCCCCGGGGGTCATGGTTTTAACAATTTAGAATCTACATTACCCCAGGAGGCTTCCATATACAGTGTCAGGTTTTCTGCCCAGTGGTTCTTGAGAAGATTTTTAAAGATGTTTCCTATATATTTCTTTGTAAAACTTTGATTCCCTATTGTGGCCCCGTCCTACCCCTGGGGTCATGGTTTTAATAATTCAGAAATCTACACTACTCCAGGATGCTTCCACATAAGTTTTAACTTTTCTGGCCAAGTGGTTCTTATGAGGAATATTTTTTAATGACCAACCCTATTTTCATCTTTTCTCCCCTTATAAGGGGATTTGGCCCCTAAATTTTGACAATTTGAATTCCCCATAACACAAGGATGATTTGCATCAAGCTTTTTTAATATTGACCCTGTGTTCTAAAGAAGGAGTTGAAAATGTGAAAGGTTTACAGTCGGAAGGACAGCTAGATAGCTAGACAGACGGACGCGGGACAAAATGTGATCAGAAAAGCTCACTTGACCCTTCGGCTCAGGTGAGCTAATAAACAAGAGGCCCATGGGCCACATCGCTCACCTGAATAGCTTTGGTGATGCAGTTTTTTACTAGATTTCCCCTCTACTTCCATCTATTGTGGCCCCCTACCCCCTCCCAACCCCCATCTTTATTTTTATAATTTAGAATCTACACTATCCCAGGATGCTTCCACATAAGTTTCAGCTCTCCTGGCCCACTGGTGCTTGAGAAGAAGATTTTTCAAATATATTTCTATATAAAACTATGGCCCCTCCCTACCACCAGGGGTAATGACTTTAAGAATTTAGAATCTACACTATCCCAGGATGCTTTCACATAAGTTTCAGCTTTCCTGGCCCACTGGTTCTTGAGAAGAAGATTTTAAAAGATTTTTTCTATATATTTCTATGTAAAACTTGGATTCTCTATCTTTGCCCCTCCCTACCCCCAGGGATCAAGAATTTTACAATTTAGAATCTACTCTACTCCAGGATGCCTCCACATAAGTTTCAGCTTTCCTGACACACTGGTTCTTGAGAAGATTTTTAAAGATTTTTCCTACATATTCCTATGTAAAACTTGAATTCCCTATTGTGGCCTCACCCTCTCCCCAGGGGTCATGATTTTTACAATTTAGAATTTACATTACCCCAGAATGCTTCCACATAAGTTTCGGTTTTCCTGGACCACTGGTTCTTGAGAAGATGTTTAAAGATTGTTCCTATATATTTCTATGTAAAACTTGGATTCCCTATTGTGGCCTCGCCCTACCCCCAGGGGTCACGCTTTTTACAACTTAAAATGTACACTACCACAGGTTGTTTCCACATAAGTTTCAACTTTCGTTGCCCACTGGTTCTTGAGAAGAAGATTTTAAAAGATTGTTCCTATATATTTCTATGTAAAACCTGGATTCTCTATTGTGGCCCGCCCTACCCCGGGGATCATAAGTTTCAGCTTTCCTGGCCAAGTGGTTCTTGAGAAGAAGATTTTTTAATTACCCCACCCTATTTTTGTATTTTCTTGATTATCTCCCCTTGGAAGGGGACCTGGCCCTTTTTTTAATAATATAAATTCCCCTTCACCCAAGGATGTACCATGTTTGGTTAAAATTGGCCCAGTGGATCTGGAGAAGAAGTTGAAAATGTGAAAAGTTAACAGACGAACGGACGGACAGCTAGACAGACAGACGGACGACGGACAATGGGTGATCAGAAAAGCTCACTTGAGGTGAGCTAAAAACTAAGTATGTGTCATCAAATCAACTTTAAGAAGTTTTAACAAGAGACCAATCAATTGCTTGTTTTATTTCAATTTTGTTCTTGAGAATTATTCAATTTCTAACATAATGCATTGTGTAAATACAGAACAAAAAGGTTATTCTCACTAAAGCAGTACTAAAACAAAAAGATTAAATAGCATGATAAAGTGTGACACCTCCTTCCTACCCAAACCTACCCCAAAAAATTGTGTGTGTGAGGGAGGGAGAGGGTGTGTGTGTGTGTGTGTGTGTGTGTGTGTGTGTGTGTGTGTGTGTGTGTGCGTGCGTGAAGGGTATCAAACGGGGACATTTGTTTGTTTACACACCTTCCAACCGGGGACGACCTTCCAACCGGGGACGTCCCCGGTTGTCTCCGATTAAAAAAAGCGCCAAATTCGAAATCAGGGATGTCTAATTACCCCAAAAAGCCGAAAAAATCCGTTTTTTAACATGTTGAAAAAATGACCCCGGTTAGTTAGGATTAAAAGATGTGTGTTAGTGTGAACTTTTCATAATGAGCGAAGGTTCGTACTTGGGGGTTACACACGTGTCCCCGGTAGTATAGTGAAAAACATGTCACGTGACCTTTTCTGAAACAAATATTACCTTTAGATATTCCCTTTCTTATTTTTAAGTCCGTATTTTTTTTAAATGTTAAAGTTACATATATTATGTTACGTTACTAGGGTATGATCATCAGCCAGTCTGACAAACATTCGTATCTATGGAACATCAGGATTATAGATGTACGATTGACAAGTTTAGTACTTACGCATGTAAATTTTCTTAATCGAGCCTATAAATTTTTAAGGAATGAAGGTTATTAAAACTTATGTTATTCGAATAATTCGATCATTCTAACATAACTTGGGGCAGTTTGCGCGTTATAAACCACGCAGTATTGCAGTTTGATGATAAACAGTTGCAATACATTCAGCATAATTCATAGGCGTCAAAAGCAAATAAAACAGGTGAGGGGGGGGGGGGGCTAATATTGAAATGAGACTAATCCCCAATAAAACCGTAAACCCTATTCTCAATGCCCACATAATGTATATCTTGGCAAAAAAGTGGAGGACTCAAGCCATTAATTCGAAAAAAAATATTGTTTATATTATGTTTGAATTCTGCAGTAGGGTTGATTTTCTTGAGCTTAAACATAATTCTTGATTTAGTGACAAAATAATACTCATTTCGATAAATATGCTTAAGTATAATTCGCATAGTTAGTTAAAGAATTTCCTGCAAATATACATTTCACCAGAATTGAAAGTTGTCATGCATTTTTTTTGTGGGGGAGGGGGGATAAGAGCGGGGTTGGGGTTAGACAGTTAAAGCTTACAGTGTTTTTACCATTTTATTTCTAAGCTGTTATTTGCATAGGTAAGGATGGTAGATATATCCATATACATGCATGATATTCCTACAATGTACCTTGTAATAGTAGTGTGGCAAATGCTAACTCCAGAAGGTAGTTCTCCGAAAAAATATTTTGACAGACTTGAGAGCTACAGTCCCATCCATTGTGAAAACAGTATATTTATTGCCTGGACAAAATGCAGTGCTTAGTTCTGAATTTTTTCTTACAATTCTTTTTACCTCAACTGCAAAATA